CAAGGACAAAACTCAGAAAAAGGAAGAGATGGTGGTGGTAGAAAGCTAAGAGGTGAAAAGCCACGTGACCAACCTGTAAAAATTCCATGCGGTCACACTCGGCCATCGGGATCTGCGTCCTTGAGGGCAAGAACGCTAAGGGGGGGATACTGTAACGAGCATGCCGACGGAAACCCGACTTCCACTCCACCCAACAAACCACAGCCCGGAATCCTACGGAGTCCGATTCCCACTTTCTATTTCATATTCCATTTTATATTTCACTTCTCCATTACAATTTATCAATAGCCCGACATCGGTAGCGAACATGTCATCGGACCCCATCAGCTACCGACCGGTAGAATACATCCTCCGACAACCCTAGAATGTAGACCACTCCGAGTAGGAACTAGATCGGACTCCTAACTAGTATATAAGCCTTAGAATTACACTGTAGATACTCAGTTCGAATATCAACTTGGTTCAGCCCAATCTCTCTCTCTCTGACTCTAAGTCTAAACTCTCGTTCTCCAGTCCGCGGAACTCTGATCCGTTGGACTTATCTTTTACCTCGTCTCTGCCACTCCGCGGACTTCCGTCCATATCCATCTTAGGGCTTCGGCTCAGGGGTGACGTTGCTAATAGCTTCGCCTATGCCCGACGCATCCCGCAGCATTCCGCTACGTGCACTTACTGCCGCAATCCTATTGGCACAATCCTAACAACCTGTGTCAATCCACTAAGTAATATTAGAGTGCATACCTGGCATGGAGCAACACCTGTTGAGGCAGAAGCAGCATATAATAAAATAATATGAGTGGAGTGCATGGCTTAGACTTAGAGCGGCACACTGGTGTTATTTAAGTGTGAAGTCTCAGGGCCCTGACTCACACCCTATGCATCCCTCAGCAGCATCTCAAATACACTGAGAAGATAATATATTTATGGAGCTTCATGCAACATTGATCTATAATGCGTGAACCCTGCCGATCTGGCAATCACTGAGAAACATCATTCAGAACCAAGGACCACCCAGTCCGAGCCTCCTGAGAGGGCTTCGGCCAACACAAGGAAAACCCTGTACCCAGAATGAAATATTGAACTAAGAAAAGGTTGTGCAGCAACCAAATAAAAATACCAGCTCACTAGCAATGTGTGCGACAGAGGACTTAAAAACAAGGAGCCAACTAGGAGAAATATTCTGCATGATGTGGCAACTCTAGACCTTGCCAAGAAGAAAGAGCAGCATGTTACTGAGCACTAACTTGGATGACTGACTCAGAATATTAATTAGTGACCATGCATTTGACATGTCACAGAGGGAAAATGACTCCAGGGTAGGGCGTATCTATTCTCGATTATTTTTATTCATACATTTAGCTGTAAATAAAAGTGTGGTAGTTAGGAGTAGATAGTAAGCTTTCAGACCCCCACAGTTGTGACACAAAGCAGAGAGTCTAGTGTGCAACTAAAGGACTTGTGTTTGTAGCTTTGAGCAAGAGAATATTATTGGATCTAGAACTATTTTGAACACTTGAGAAGGTCACGAGGTACACCTTGCTCATGCACAACCATGTAAGCTTTGTTCTGAACAGTAATTGAGTGCACTCAACTCAGAGAAATATTGTGTTGTGATAACTTGAATGTGCTGTTGTGTCTTTGGGATGTGTTTGTGATTTTTGAGTTATTGCAAGTAGCAGAGGTTCAAACCCTTTGGCTTGTCAATAATCTTTGAGGGTTTTTGGTTTATTCCCAGGTGGCATAGGTTCAAATCCTGTGGCTTGTGGACATGTTTCTGTGTTTCTGTGTCTCTGGATCACATAGGTTTGAACCCTGTGGGTCTATGAAAAGTTTCTGAGGTGTTTCTGCTTAGAGCGCGAGGCTTTAAGTCATGTTTAGTTCGTTTGACAGGTTGTGGCCACCTGTGTGTTGTGCACAATGTCATTTGAGGGTTGTACATTCTTATGGAATGTTTGTGGGCTTGCAGAGTATTACTTTTGCCTTGAGGCCGAGCGATACATATCGCTCACCTCCTGTCCTAAAAGCATTTGGACTTAGAGAATTCTTTTGAGCTAGCGCACTATTATATCTTGATGAGCGCAAGAGATATTTTAATTATATTGTTATTGTGTGCTTGTATCGCACATCTCCCCCAAACTACTGAGATTTTGTATGTGTGTGAGTGTGAGAGTGGGTGTGTTTAGTGTTTCTATGCTATCGCATTTCTAGCTAGGCATGCACAGAGCCTCTTCACTGGGAAGGGTCTTGATGTATGAAAAGGAACAGAATCTGGTATAACTGGAAATACCAGCAAGCCATGTACAAAGTGGCAGCAATTAACTAGTAAAAGCCATGGGCAAGATTGGTGGAATTAATGACAATGCCATCAAAGAACAATACCAGTGACAAGATAACAAATACCATGGCAGAAATAAATGAGTACTGTAGGCGAGAGACTGGCAGTAAAACAAAGACTAGACTGTGCTGGCAGAAATATGAAGAGGGAACTAGTAATGGCAAAACGATAAGCGAAACTGGGTGATGATGAAACTAAAACTGGGTGGAAGTTAACTGCAGTAAATGAAACTGATACTGATCTTGAGTCTACATGGAGACTATCCTATACTGAAGCTGATGGCAAGATATCAAATACCATGACTGACAATTCTATGCTGTTGACTGAAATTCCATGACAGATGCTACTGGTGGCAATAATGATCCTGATCCAGGTCCACATGTGGATGTGACTATACTGAACTGGACTGGGGTAAAATGATGGCAACGTAGAAGGTGAAGGCTGGTAAAATGATCCTGGCTGGTGAAAGTGAAATGATGCTGGTGGAATAAAAGATAAAAGCGAGTTGTGGACATGAAATTCCATGTATTGGTGCAATATGAGCATACACTAATACCATTAGAAGAAAAGCCATGACAGAGAGTATAACTCAGAGTGACTGAGTTGTATTGTCTATCTCCTAGCTAGTACAAGCAGTAGTGGTGGTCGATAACTTGTTAACTGTCCAGTAACTATTTTGTAACTACTACTACACTAGCTTTTATACTACAAGTCCAGAATAAAATTAGAATACTTGAAATGAGTCCTTAGTAAGTCCATAGTACATAGATTGGTAAGACATGATACAAATGTGTGCTCTCAACCTTTGAAAGTAACAGCACCCAAACAGTTTTACTGCATATAGCCTTAGTGTTTAGAAAGAATTCCGCCGACATATGGACTTTTGGGCTGCTGTGTTGCTGCAGCAAAGTACATTGAAGCTAGTGCACTGAAGTAAATGCATGTGGCATTGTCTTGGCATTGTAAAGCCTTAGTAAAGCAGGTGGAAAGGTCATGGTATTAAGTCTTTTGCTGTAAAATAAGTATTTTGGCTGTGGTATTCTATTAAGTGACACTTGATGCTGATGTCAGTGATGGCTGTGCTAGTCAATCAATGATGGTCCTAAATCCATGAGATCTGCAATCAGATGCCTGGCAGCATTAATGAAGTGGCATATATTGATGCAGAATACAAGCTGGGAAGGGTATTTGGCAGTAAAAGTGGGTATTGCCATGACTGCAATTGTTGACTTAGTGATAGTCCACTAAGTGGACAAGGCATTTATTATAATGCTAAAATCCACAAATTCTGAGTGTACAGAGCCTCGAGGCTCATCACTGGTTTGCGAAATAAAGGAAATCAGTAAGTGTGAAGCAATTACTGAGGGAAGTAGCCAGTAAGTGTGGAGCAATTACTGATATACAAGGCCTGTAAGTGTGAAGCTATTACAGGCCATAGGTGAAGGCAAGCACTAAGCATAACCTTTGGGTTGGTGTCAGAAAGTGCTAGGCATATCCAATGAGTTGTTCAGCAAGTGCTAGGCATAGCTGAGGGTTCATGCAGTGAAGGTGTCCTAAAAGTGGTAGATTGGTAAAAGCTTCTTAATACAATGTTACCTATGAGCTTATATACTAAGGAAAGATTAGAGTCATTATTATTCTATAATGTTCCATAATATTCTAGTATCAATATGAAGAATAGAGAAAGTAAGAGAAAGTACAAGGGAGTCACTACTAGGACCGAGAAGGCTGAGTTCAGGCATGTGTTGACTCATGCACCAAATCAGTGGATACCCAATATTCATAACACAAATTAGAATACATCAAAATAATTTCATTCAAGAGGGTGTGCACATTGGTGGAGGTAAACATCTAATGTAGAGATGAACAAATCTTCCTGATAAGCAGTACAGTGTACTACGGATCCTTGGGACACTATCGTTCCTTGGGACAAATGGGAATAGCTCTGGCACCTGTGGGCATAATCACACCAAAATTGATGTATATATTCTTCCATGTATGTAAGACATCCCCCATAAGTTTCAGGCTGAATGATTTAGAATTGCAGGAGGTAGAGATTGAGATACATCAAAAAATGCTCAATTTGGCAATGGGACAACTTTTGTTTGTAAAATACTTATGTCTGATTTAAATTATACACATCAATAGTATTGCAATAGCATACATGACCCATTTTGCTACAACTTTGTCTTTTACATAGAAGGATTTGGATAAAAAGTCATCTCTCCAGACTACAGTTTGTTGGATGAAGCACCAATGGAGCGCAAGTGTGACATCAAATAGAGCTCAGAATGGATTGATCCGGTGAGCCAGAGTGAGCCCAGAAGCCCTGTCACAGGCTGTCACGGATGTCCCAAGGACCCGTAATGGGCCATTTGGGACCTGTCTCAAAGATTAATTTTATTCTACTTCATACCTATGCTTTCCCTCATAATACTTGCATAAACTTAGTTCCAAGATGTCCCAACATCATCTCAAAAAATATCAGACCTCAAAATAAATTTAATGAAGGATTATTCCAGGATTACATTGTCATGTCCCAAGGACCCATAGTACACTGTACATGAGATTTATGAAACTGTGTAATAAGGGAAAGAGCTCTTTCAATACGTCTAACACCATTCCTAACATGCATCAAAAATGATACAATATTTTTACACTTATATCAAACAAGAATATTATGACACTTTACAGCAATGCCTAGTTTGTTGAACCTTCTTGCTTCCTCTATGTCAGCCATTGCAAACACAGACACTTTCTCAAACCTCTGTTCTGGCAGTTGTTGCCCAACAGCCCAATATTCTGAAGGCTCGTCATCAGGGTCATTATCACCAAGCAGTGTATATGAGCCATCCAGTATTGGGTACTGGTGGGTGGCAATGATTTTGAATGTGTGCACCATTCCATCCACATCTTCAACAACTAACTCTCCACATCGATCATGCCCTTCTGCTGATCCTGCTTCCAAACCCTGCACACACCCCTTTTCAATGCAAGGCCCTTCATACCACTCCTCATCCTTCTCATCATCATGCTGAACAGAACCCACACAGTTTGCATCCACTGGCAGAGGCTCTGTCATGACCTGCTCCCATGTTGGTCTCCATTTCTTGCTTCCTCGTCCTGCCTCAGGATACAAAAAGAGGAATTTCACCTGCATACCAGACCACATTGCATTCACCAGTGCTGTCCATGCATCCTCGAGAGACTCACTTTCATGATATGTTGGTATTGTCAGAGGCCATAGAGGGAATGCCAGTCCCGCAACTTTATCAACAGGGTTGGTTGACACTCGCTTCTGCATGTCAGCCAGTGTACTAAAAATATCCTGGCCCCATCTTGGCAAGGTGCGAAATTGTGTCAGTATCTCAATCTTGTACTTTTCATTCTGGTCTATTGGTTCAGCATGCATTGGTCCATCAGGTGTATCCCCGGCAATAATCCTGGCATACCCAACCTCCTGCACTGTCCATGCACGCCTAAACCAACTCCAATCACTGTCCAAGTCACCCTCCTTCAAACTCAAAGGCCGCCCCAATCCACTCAGGTAGATCACCACCTTGTCCTCATCATACACATATCCGATTGTGGGCACATCCAGCCTCCACTCCTCCATACGCAGATCCTCCCATCGCCCACCCACCTGTCTCAAACAAAGCACGTCCAGCCACGTGTACTCATATCCCAGATTCAGCATCTTGATTCTGATCAAGCGGAGGTCCACATCCTTTGGGATGGGCACCGGCCATTCCTTCCCATTGATAGGTGTCAACACGTCAACCCGATCCTTCTCATCCACCCATGCGTGTGATATTGGGCATCCCCATCGGCTGCTGTTAGTGGCCCAGTACGGCACTACGCGATTGCTGTAAAGGTCCCACACACGTCGAGGTGGCAACTTCGGGTCGACAATCCGGTTTCCTTTCAGTGCCTTTTGTCGCCTCTTCCGGTCCTCCTCTTCACGTCTGCGTAGTTCGTCTTGCATGGTGCCATCGTTATAAGTTTCCCATACCCCGCGGAGACGGCCGTATGCAGTGCCAAAGTCGTAGTTTTGTGTGATGCAGTCTTCGAGAAGGGAGGAGACGGATGGTGTATCCAGGGTGTGTGACGCTTGAAGGATGGCGTTGAGTAGATCCAGGATACGTTGAATGCCAATGGAAGCGCAAGGAACATTCGCTAGTGCGGAGGATATCACTTCCCGCCATGGGTCGTCATCATCACCGGGGTATTTCCTTTGCAGAGGAACTTCAACTGACGACTCCACTTTGCCAGTCTCAGTGAAGGCAGAAATGACCTCTTTGCCCTAGGGAGATGCTCGTTCATTGGTATTTCATCCATTCATTTTCACAGGACTTACTGTTTCGATTTTCGATCATACAAGAGATTCATAGTCACCATGATCAGGGACCTTGTCGCCTTTATCGACACTGGGACTAGCGAGCTGGTCCTCTACGGCTACGGTCTGGGTTTCTAAAATAGGGGTGTCTGACAGCGGTTCGGGATGACAGTGGGGCGATGTGTTCAGTGTCACGTCCAAGGCATGATTGATGTCCCCTGAGGTAGAACCAGAATCCTGACGCACCATCGCTGGTTGCGAGTCTGACGGCGCGGATGGGTTGGCATTAGAATTGTGGTTGGGTGTTCTGTCAGGAGGGGCGTCGTTCAATTTCCGTACAGTCAAAAGGGCCGTGCATAAGCGTCTCCACATCGACTTGACATGACTCAAAAGCTTTCGTCCTATTATTTTCAATGTCGTAGTGAGTACTCGAAGCAAAAGTAGATTAATGTTACACACCGTTTCCCATTTTCTCTGTCGAGACGGATACGCATACAAAGTGGTGCGAGACGAAGGTGTGTTGACACGAGGCGGGTGTAAGGACTAGCAGGTAACCCCAGGCTAACCGTGTTTGCAGCGTGGTTGAACTAACGACATCCCGCATCGTCCGGGCCGAAAGAACACGCAGGGATCACACTCCTCGCCGTCCACGACGGGAATTCATACAAGGATTCAACTTGATAATCGATCTCATGGAAATGAAACGCCAGAGACCAAGTTTAGATCTGTCGGGTTTATGGGAATGATGAATTGATTGTAGTATCGAGACACTTGTACCGAGCTGATATGTATCGCTATGCCTTCTATAATCCCATCACTTTTCCTGATCCCAATGAACGCTAAGGAGAGACGTGAGCAACAGCAACTCGCAATACACCAGCAATCTCACCTACATGCATAATCAGAACCGCACCAAAATCCACCCAGCTCCGACAGAAAGAATCCTTTGTTCGTGCAGCGCTCGATATTCTGTACAGTTTGTTAAACAAGGGTTTGCATTGGAGACGAGCAAGACGCACTCTTGAACTACAGCATGCAATTCGCCCAATCTTCACTGAATCCGTACCCGTTTCTTCGTCGAACTTCATAGAACACGCTGGCAGAGAAATCACCCTACGAAAGGTGAACCAGCCGGAGAGGCAGTATACATTGAAGTTGTCAATGCCGGGTTATCGAAAGACATCAACGAGGACGAGAACGAGGTTGAGGTGTGGGAGTCACGATGATCGCAGTTCCCATCAGCCTGTGAATATGTTAGCCACAGCAAGAATGCACGAGTCGTAACTGGATGCCTTGCACCTTTGCTCTATGTATCACAAAAGAAATTGCACCCGATCTCGAATATCCTCGGTATGTCTTGAATACGAGTAGTGTAGGCCTCACGAGCGTTAGCACATGCAAGACGAGATGGTGATGGTGGTTAAAACGGAAGAAGATACGGGCCGGATTTGACCTTCTATTTCGAAGTCGTCGGGTCGGGCTTTTGAATGGCGGCTCCATGCAATCCTACGTACGTCGTCTTCACATTAGCTTTGTGACTTCTGAGAAGCGACCTCAGGGTGCGTAACTCAAAACGACCCCGTGTTCAAGAAGCGAGCCAATTTCAGCATCGATATTACCAAAGAACGCGCGATTTCACTCTGTATTGACGGACTCGTTGTATGTTCCGCCTCAAAAATATATTCTCAAATAACCTCTTGCAGCGTATGGTCGGTATAAACCAGATGCCAAACATAACTTCACCCTCGAAGTCACTCTCAAGTTCGCTGACCGCGCAGCAGTCAGTATTCATGTGCTGATCTCTCTGATACGCATGGTAATAACGGCATCCTCGTTTTCTCGTTTCTTGTCCGATTAACGAAACAGGTGCGCCCGGAGGAGCACCCAGTACCAGTCTGCCAATGGAAAACAAAGCATGCACTACTAACTGGAATGTTTTCATCATTAAAATACGAAAATACGAAAAAATGGAACTGCCAGCTTACCTGTTCGCAACATTAAAGATTCCTCCGGGAATATTAAATCGTAGACACCTCGCGAGATCGATACATTCGTAGTTTCAGAGGGTATTATGCTACGAAACTGACATCAGCCGCATTCGACAAATTGGGGAGAAAGAACTGACTGCAACCAGCCAGTTCATCGATTGCGGGTGCGATTATCATTCGGGCGCCTAAGTGAAGCCTCGAGGTACTTCTCTCCATGGTTCCCATACTGTTGCGACCTCGTTTCTACTCACTCTGAATGGATCCCACGACCGATACGTCACCCTGATGGACAAGCCATAAAGACAATGCACGAAGTCGACGTTGCGATAGCAGGGACAGGGACAAGGGCTATTGTTCAGAGAATGGGAAGAACATTGTCTATTGACTAGACTTAAGTACAGACCTGAGAGGAATGAGAAGGGCGTACATCATCCGAAATCCACCTGTGACATCAACGTAGGAAGCAATGGGCCATAAGACGATGCCGAGGAGCGTAAGTATCGAGTGGATGCCAGCACACTTTACCGATAATCACAGCATTACAGCCGTTTGCATACAGCTTGACAGTCAGGGGCATTTTCATGGATGAAGAAAGAAGGTTCGGACTTCGTCATAAACCGTGTCTTGGGAGCTTCGAGCGCACAAAGGGGCCACCGAGATCGCCGAAATAGCCATAAACCAGCCACTAGTGCGTCTTAAAGTCCCTAAACCAAGGTTTATGACGAAGTCAGAATCACTCTCTTCTCTCGCGTAAAACACATGCAACTGTCAAGCTCTATGCAAACAGCTGTAATACAGATAAATCTGTTAAATCGATTCAGATCACAAATTCACGGATGCAAAATGATAGACGAACCTAGTCTATAGTCCTTCCAATAAGCCTCTGTGCGTTAGAGTATCGAGACAATCGAACCATCGAACTTTGAAGATGATTTTCCGATCGTCGTCGTAGGTACTGGACATGATGGTCTCAGGCGCCTCTTATGATGGGCGTGCGAGCCCTGAATGGGACGCGAAACTACAGAAGGATAAGAAGAGTGAGTCGTCTGATGTGGACGAAGAAGCTCACCTGATGCTTGTTCGCCAGCTTCGGCGAATGTGATAAGAGAAGAGGATCAGAGCTGGAGAGAGCTGTGAACGAATAGTAATGAGGAACGGATTACCGGGTAATTGGAACCCCATACGCACCGTGTCAGCGTAAAGCTCTTAGCTTTCTGGCATGATCCATCAGAGGACCAAGTGCCGCAGTCGTACGAGTCCATTTGAGAGATTTGAATACCAGGCTGTAAGGAAGATTTCAGGACAAAGCGAGCGAGGGAGACGGTGATGCTCAAGGTGGAAAGTGTACCACAACTTCATTCAGCCTGGCTAGCAGCAGCTCCTACTTTCCAAAGCCTCGTTTACTATCACTTGAGCGGGTTCCTGTTTGTTACATCACGAAAAAGACCTGTGAAATAAGGTGAGCATCATAACAACGGCATGGAACTGCCGGCATACCTCGCCAAGAGTTCGTCAGAGTTGGGCATCCGAAAGATGTCGTGAAAGACAGCCAGGATATTCTCGTAATATCAGTCTAGTCGTCGTAAAGCTAGACACGACCATCTGTTCCTGTGTGAATTAGTTGGTCCGATTCGTTGAAAAGACATAGCGAGGACGAACAAGTATTGGTGGCGAATTCTTTGGTTGTTCTTGTTGAAGAGAAGCACCTCATCATACCTACCCGGCGCGACTCCCATCTCACAGAAGCTTGATGATCGATGAGAACGGGAGTACACGCAATTAGATTCTGTGCCGTCTTGAGTTAGACGCCCATTGTTCATAGCACCATTACGTGTACTACCTGTAAACGCAGGTGTGAAAGAAGCTCCGTTACAATCGAGGGATGTACATGGTCCGAGATTAGGATAAAGAGGGTCTGTCAAATGAACATTAGTCGAGGGGAGAGCATTATCAGAGGAACGTACCCCAGTAAGTCTTGCTCATTGATATTATCGGACTAGTCCATAGGTAAGGACTCCCCGTACGTCCTCACATCATGAATGATCACGGCCCAATGCATCGAAAAAGTGTTATCGTTCGCGAGGTATATTTACCTTGCCGGTGGACGTCTGAGAATGAAAGTACCAGTTTTTCACAGGCTCGCACGCGTTTCCACCACCATGCTAGGCGAGGAACTACAGCCTATCCCGACTTAATGAAACCAGATTTAATCCGGACAATGGAAGAAGAGTCGTCAAACGTTCGCAGACAGAGCCTGAGATGGGTGTTAAGATCATCAACGTCCGTTGCCGAGGTGATAACGGGGTGTGAGACCGAGAGTGGTGGAGTGAACCACAAGGAAGAATATGCACGTAAAATATCCGGGTACTTCGGTGAAGACAAATCGTTCAAGGAGTTGGTTTGGTACATCTGAGCTGGGTAGGTTTTTACATGCAGACTCTGATGGTCGACTCTTGATTGGCATCGTCGAGGAGGGTGATAAGCAGTGTAGAGTCAATGACGGCCTATCATAAGTGGCAGGAGAAGGGAAACGGGCTAAACAATGTGTCGTAGAGTTGGCTAATGCTTAAAGCGTGTAGGCGATGTGCCCGGAGAGAGGAAAGCAGAGTTGAGAAGACGTGAAAGTCGAGCTTCTCAAGGGCAAGGTTTCGCGGGATACGGCCTTCGAATGCCGGAGCGGTGTACAAACAGCCCATGAGCATTTGTTATGATCAAGCTAGTTAGTACGTCGCGTAGATAACGGTAGTGATTTGTAACTGGCTTCGAGATCAAAATATATGGGTTTTCCACCAAAAGGAATCCGAATAGTCGAAGAAAAGCGTTCAGCGTATTCTTCTAGGGCTCAGCAAGCGTTTAGCGTAACTGAATAAGTAGGAATAGACAAGCGTTCAGCGTAGTCTTCCCAAACTTAGGTTCACTCAAGTGAGGATAATTCGGAATGAAAATTGGAATGAATTCTTGTAGCTACTCAATGCCTTGTATATAGGCTACATTTTCGTTATCTAGAGTATTCTAGAGAGATAAAGACTACGCAAGAAAGAGAGAGAAACGTGTAGAAGATATATTACTGCGAGAACATTCTTGATGGACGAGCAGGCCGATGGCCGAGAAAGGAGGTACGGACTCTAAGTATAGATATCCATAACAGCATTGTACACCACAGCTTCAGCATATATCCAATAAGGACACGCTATGTCGAACACACTGCACTAGATGTGATTGTTGAACGACGCGGAGCCTAGTTCCAACTTGTGGAATAGCAACAGGTGCGCTTCCTGCGGAAAGAGGTAGATCGGCGCACAAAGAGTGATAGTTTGTTCGAGTATGACGGGATGTCGACTTGTGTGTTAGGCAGGCGATTTAAGATTCGAGCCGATGGATGTCTTCCAGTCGACATTGGACAAGGATGCTTGAGTTTTGCATCTGCCGTCATGTTTTTATCGATAGAGCTGGGCGAACAAGTTACGAAAGGGAGGTGATATCGACGTTAGAGACATAGGAGGATATTTTGGTGGCATCGTGAATACCTGAAGAGGAGTTAGCTGGTTCGTTACCAATTCCTGGGAACGTACGATTGGAAAACCGGTGTCATGTAGTTTTTGAACAAATGAAGCAGTACGCGTTCCTAGCACCTGCCAGTGATCTATCAACTCATCAGCGATTGAACGTCGGAAAAGTCATAAATCTTACAGTCTAAGTCCCATTGTGCAGGAGAAATGAACGTTTGAACGGCCGAAAAACGGCGGTGAAGAAAGGTGTTCGTTGGTTAACTCCACTAGGCGTGGCTACCGATTCATGGCTGGATTATAACACAATGATTAGGACTCTTGGTCAAATTCTGCTGAATTCACGTCGAGACGGGTGCTTGTCATGCTGCAAGAATAGTATCAGTCACGTAAAACCAACGACCCGACAAACAAAGACGTACTTCTTCCATGCCATCCTTCGTTTGCGTTCTGGATACCGCTAACACGTCCATCCCTACAGCAGAGCTCGAGCGTCACGTCAGAACATGAAAGACCACTCTGGACTTGACGAAACGATGGGACGGTGTGGGTGAAGAGGGTGTGTTGGCAGTGCGCACTGAGGACTAGGTGCGTGAATTCCCCAAGGCGTGGAAAGCGGATGGTCTTGCGTGCGATACGTGGGAACCTGCTATGCAAGGGAATTCTTGCCTACCCTCGTAGTCTTCCTTGCGTACTCCCAACTAGACAGAAAGATATATGTCGATTCAGGTAAATTTTTGAGGTCCACTCCGCTCGGAGTGCCATGGAGGCCAACGTATTCGTGTTTAATGTTGAAAGAAAGCCGGTCGAGAGGTGGAGCACAAGAAACTTGATCGTGGTAGATTCGCCTACCAGCTACCAGGATTCGTCCAGCTCATAAAACGGTTGTCATTCTTCAAGAGGGCATGGACGCAAGAAGGCAAAAAGGAAAGAAGCGCGCTTTGTTTGCTTCTTTGGTGCCAAACAATCCCGGCGCGTAGCGGGCCCGTGCATGCCCGGTGTCTGGGGTACCCGCCAAGATCAGGCGTTTTCTCGTAACCTTAATTGTGCTTCTCCGCTTGACTGGATCATCTCACTTTCTCAATACCTCTGCATCACTCCTCGTCTTGCGCTCTTCTCAAATCCTTCTGTCGAGAGCTTTTGATCAAGAACCGCAAAACGACATCCAACCGAGTACTCCACCACTCGGACACGCTTTCCATGGTAGGTTATGGTTTTCAAACATTTCTCGCCCTCAAAGCTTTGTGACCTATAAGGTCGTGATCAAGCGAAGGACAATTCTCATTGCTGGCGGAGGTTTGGCATACGGGAGTTCTGGGGTGCGTATGTAATAATGCTGGTTGTGTTTCGTCTGTTTACCCTATTCTCGGACAGTCGCACACAACACCTTGGATTCGGAAGCAATGATCAAGACACGACTACAATACGCAGATCCCTTGATTACAGCCATCCGACTTTCGTATGCAGAATTTCTTCATCAGCCAGAGTCCATCTAGCATGGAGAACCAGGTGCGTGTACCCTCACTCCACCTTTGGATGCGCTTTACCTGAAAGGCCTTACCTTACCTACATCTTCAGGATTCGGGCGGTTGTCGTGCAGCCACCTATGGATATCCTCAATGGACAATTGCGTTGTTGGAGATAACATCAGCGTTGCCAATTTTTCCCTGCTTACCCCCTGTTTTAGGATCGCGTATGTGCCACGAACCTAGTAGGTGCTCAATCTGGCTTCCGAGTATTCTCTTTTATTGACATTATTGTGTATCTATTAGGACGATCTTATCTTTCAGACTTCGTCATTTCTTTGGTGGGCAATACGAACAACCGAAGTCCGTTTGAGACGGGTAGGAGGGAGGGAGTGGTGCACTGGTGCACTGTCACAGTACCGAGCTAGCTTAGAGGTTGGTGTATGGCTTATCGCTCTTTGTTTATCGTGTTGACTTCATTGATCTGTTGCAGATGCTCAACGTCGAGGAAGACGTGACTTGCAGCCAAGGTCGTTTTTATTCCGCTGGGTTACACGGAGAAGACACGAGAACTCTCTGAATACAAAGATTTTGATAAGCAAAGTCGGCTCGAGTACGTTCCTTTCGATAACTCTCTTCATTCGACTGACTTCCTTTCCACAGACCCTCTTCCTCCTGCTCTCCGACTATACAGCGTCTACCATTCAGTGCCATTCGTCCTTTGGTGCGCTAGCGACGGGCATCAAATCAAGCACGGGATCGCTCATTACTTCCGAACAAGATCAACCGTGTTGTACGGCGCATCATCTATTGCGGTGGCTTCGGAGAGATGTGAACTTGCCGGGTATAATGAGGAGATTTGGTTTAATAGGTCGATAATGGTTCGTCCTCGCCATTCCTGTTCGTCGACAAACAATGTATATTAACATGGTATTTCTACCTGCTAGAAAATCATTGCTGAAATTTGCACGCCTTCTGAATTTAACAGTCTCTTTTTCCCGCCTTTGTTTCTTCGAGCCCGTTCTCGAAGATAATCGATTTTTTTTGTTTGGCGATACTGTGTGAGAATCAGAGTAATATGGCTGGCGTTTCAGAATATTTACTTGGAACAATGGTGATGATCTGATGGCCAGAATTTGAGCTGGGAATCTATTGCAAACTCGACAAATTTACAGGAGTGAACAAATGGGATACGCCTTGTACGTTCATCATTGTGAAGGAACGAGAAGGTGAATTGAATTGTGATCTCCGTGTATCGGCGTTCCCCATAGCCCGATCAGCATCGGGAATTCAAACGTTAGCTTGTAACAGCTTCTTGTCTCAACACAAACAACTCTTCGTTCTTCAGGCTTCACCTCCTTGAATGTATATCTGTCTGTCTGAGCCTGAGAAATGGGAAATAGTAGGTACTGTTCATCTACTGTCGCTTTGAGTACTCAGCCAGATGACATTAGCGCCATCAAAAATTAAATGCCAATCGCTTTTCAATGGCATCAAGTCGCTTTGGAAACGATTATACTCCGTATTTTCGACCGCACAGACAACATCCAGTTCATTTTCTGATGTGACATCCGAAGTTGACCGGAATCACGATACCATCGCATCGTCCGAGTCTGAAGAGGCAATACTATATCCAAATCGCAGTTCTACTACAGCAGAATCTGGTTCCGTCTAGATCGTATCCAGCCTCTTCCACAGATTTATCGATTTTGATGCCTGAGGTGACCTCGCTCGAAACTGGAGGTTGGAGGGATGGCTTCTCCGATTGCGCTGACAGTGAATTTCAAGTCCTAGCCAAAATGATGGTGGTAAGTCAGTTGGAAATCAATCTGGGAAGAATAATGTGCTGATATGGTGGATCTCAAGTGTTATGAAGTCATCACATCATTCACTGAGACTGGCCGAGCGGAATTGACCATCAAGGTTCCACTGCAGTGGGTCTACACTGGTCAAAAGCCTGTTATACCATCCTCTCTCGCTGACACTCCCTGCGCTACCCTCGGCATTCAAGGTATCTTGATTCAACTCAACACCTACCTCGGAATGTCACATACCCTCAATACTCTGTGTCTCTCCTCCCTTCTTGAAGAATACATCAAGAACAACTATGATTTTGGCACAGCATATGGCCATCTCTGCATGGTATGGAAGACCAATAATCCCAGCACCATTCAAGATGAACTACACAAACGTGAAAAGAGGGACCAGGAGAGATGACAAAATGCATTGGTAGGAAACCAGATTGTGCACCTGTGGTTACAACTAGTGTTGCTGCGGCTCAGCTTATCTCAGCTTAATGCCAAAGTCGGTTTTGAGCTGTTTGAGTGCACCAAAGTTCAAAATGACAGGCATTTTGATGTTTTTATTCACTCACAAGACTTATTGGTATTATCAGAAGCTGCATTTTTGTTCCTCCTACCCTTCTATCCTCAGCGGCTCAAAACTGACTTTGGCGTTAAGCTGAGATAAGCTAAGCCATGGCAACACTAGTTACAACCTTGACGTGTTTGGGACCTTTACAGTAATCATGTAGTGCCATGGTGGGTTGTCGACTTGAAGCCATGGCAATTACCAAACCCAATATCACATGCTTGGATGGATGAGAAGGATCATATCAATGTGTGGACCCCTATCAATGGGAAGGAATGGCCCGTGCCCATCCCAAAGGATGTGGACCTCTGCTCGATCAGGATTGAGATGCTGAATCTGGGATTGGAGTAAACATGGCTGGATGTGCTCTGTTTGAGACAGAAAGATGGGCTAAGGGAGGATCTGCATGTAGAGGAGTGGAAGCTGGATGTGCCCACAATTGGAAGGGTGTATGCATGGGCCAGGGTGGCAATCTACCTGAGTGGGTTGGGGAAGCCTTTGAGACTGAAGGAGGGTGACTTGGATAGTGATCAGAGTTGGTTTAGGCATGCATGGACACTGCAGGAGGTCAGGCCCTTTGACAGGACCATCACTGGGGATACACCTGATGGACCAATGCATGCCAAACCAATTGATGAGGATGGCAACTATGAGACAGAGATACTGACACAATTTCACATGCACCTGAACTCCTTTTCAACAGAGCCCAGGAATATTTTTAGTGTACTGGCAGATATGCAGAACTGTGTCAACCAACTCTGTGGACAAAGTTGCAGGACTGGCATTTCCTCTGAGGCCCCAGACAATACCAGCATACCATGAGAGTGGGTCTCTTGAGGATGCATGGACAGCACTAGTGAATACAATGTGCTCTGATATGCAGGCTAAATTGCTCTTTTTGTATCCTGAAGTAGGACAAGGATGCAAGAAATGGAGACCAACATGGGAGCAGGTCATGACAGACCCTCTGCCAAAGGATGTTGGCTGTCTTGGGTATGTTGAGTATGATGATGAGAAGGATGAGGACTGGTATGAAGGCTCTTGCATTGAAAAGGGGCTTGTGCAGGGTTCTGGTGCAGGATCCACAGAAGGGGGTGTTCAACATGGAGAGTTAGTTGTTGAAGATGCAAAAGGAATGCTGCACATATTCAAAATCATTGCTGCCCACCAGTACCTGATACCTGAAGACTCATATACACTGCTTGGTGATACTGAGCCTCCAAAATGTTGGGCTGTTGGCCAACGATTACCAGAAGCAAGATTTGAGAAAGTGTCAGTGTTTGAAATCACTGACAGAGAGGAAGCAAGAAGGCTGGAGGACCTAGGTATTGCTGTAAAGTCTTGTAACATTCTTGTTTGATCTAAGTGCAAAAATATTGTATCATTTTTGAGGCATGTTAGTAATAATGTTAGATGTATTGAAAGAGCTCTTTTACAAGTCCAAGTTTACAAGGATTCATTCTTTTATGGCAGATTTCTGGCCTTGGAACCTTACTTTTAAGAATGACATCTGATTTCAACAGTGACAAATTGCTGTAGTGGTGACTTCACACTGGCCGCTGATTCTTCCCTTTTTTTCAGCAAATGCTGCTTTCTCATGGCATCTTGTAAGCCACCAACTTGACAAATAATGTCAAACAAAGGGCTTGTCACTCATGTTCAGTGATTCAAGCACAATTGTAGGCACTGTGGTCTGAGTGAGTTGAATGGATTCTTAGGTAGTTGCAAAGTTGGAGCTAGAGTTGGGTAGATTATACCTTAGCTGAAGCTGGGGCTTAAGGCCACAGCTGAGGCTGCTTAAATACATGTTCACTATGCTAATAATAGTACACTACAATGAGTAAATGGTATGGTATCCATGCATGAAACAACAAAAGAAACCAGGTGTCTGTGTGTTGCTATTACAGTTTTCTCTTTGTCTTATCTTATCTTCATCTTATCTTACTGCCAGGACTCTTTGTAATAATCCTTACTTATCACCATGCTGCTACCGAGCTACCTCTGGCACTTATACTGTGACTTGTTGTTCTTTTTGTTTCATGCATGGATACCAGGTTCTTTACTCATTGTAATGTACTATTATTAGCATAGCCTACCATGTATTTAAGAAGCCTCAGCTGTGGCCTTAAGCCCCAGCTTCAGCTAAAGTTATACACTTCCCAACTTTACTTGAACTCCCTGCCTCATGACTAAGAGTTTCTCGCCAGCTGTCCACAATGACATTGCTACACTTGTACAGGTTCACTGAACATGAGTGACTGACCTGTGTTTGACATTGTTTATAGAGTTGGTGTGTAACAGTTGCAGTATAGTGCCAGAGGTTGCTCAGTATAGGCATTGAAGAGGTTGGCTGTGGGCACCTGTGGAACAGTGAGTGGGCTAAAAGGTGAACCTCAAAAACCCACACACACACTCACACAACTACACAAACTACAAACACCCTTGTAAGTTCTAGGGGGAGCGATTATTTCTAATGTGATCTGACTATACTTCAATATCTCGAAGAGTTTCTCTTATTCTCAATGCTCTTAGCGAAGCTAAGCTTTCTCTAATGAATCCCTAAGTCTAGGAACTTTTACAGGAAGGTTGTTCACTGGTGCAATGCAACCTTCAAGGCAGATTTGAGTTATAATACACAAGGGACACTGATCCCAACAGAAACAGAGGCAATACACACTGAAAATTTAGTGAGCTCGCTAAAAGAACACCACAGGCAAGCACTGACTTAGCCTGCTCACTACACAACTGTGTGTAGGGGTCCTCCAACTAACTCCAACAGATGATCTCGACTCAAGAACACTTCAGAAGCACTCAGAAACAGATAAAGAAATGGAACTTCGAACAGAACAGACATGGAACAGACTGAAACAGAACAGAACATAACACAGATTTCCACTTCAAAACATACTCTGAATGGACTTATCAACACTCAACAGAACAGAACAGCTTCACTGATTCTTATTCTCTCAGAACTAAGTGCATAAAAGTCTTTCTCAAGGGTATCTCGTATTTCTCTGAGTGAGCTCACTAACTCTATGCAAAGCTTGAAGTCACAAACTGATCCTTTGTCACAGCACTGCCTTCAACACGTGCACTGGAACTTGGGGGCTCAAAACTTGGGGTTTTCCATCCATTTCACTGGGTGTCGGAGGTCCCAAAAGGAGAAAAAGAATAAAAAAAGAAAGATTTCGCATGCCAAAATGGGCGACCACCGATGTTTGTTTGTTCATGTTATATTTAAGAGACAACACTGATCGCCATTCATTTGCCTCACTCTCTGCCTCGACATACACTAATTCAAGCACGGGGGGCCGTGCATTTTTTCCCTCCATCGACGCCCCGACATTCATCCAGTCTCCCGCACCATCGGCAAGGTACAGTGCATGCAATCTGACACCACAAAATGTCATTACCTCCAGGGGAAGTCTCATTGCGGCAGCATCGACAGCTATGGATATTATGGCGTTTCCTCTCCTCTGTGGGTACGGTACATCTTCTCTTGCTCTCTCTTTCCATGTCCATGTGCTGATGGCTGCTGGAACTGCTGTTTCTAACAACTATGGACAGGGAATCCGATTGAGGCTCGCCCAGTGGCTGATTTTGGGCCGGTTCAGTATGGGATGCAGGAATTGGATGAGGACTTGTAGGAAGCTCATCAAATGTAGCAGGGATAGGTGCAGGGGATGGAGTGGATCGAGGTGTGCCACCGCTTGTGGGATGGGTGGATATCAGTGTATCAGTAAATCAGGAAGAATGCGAAGCAGTGGGAGCTGTCAAAATTGACAAATTCAGAGGGAGTGACTGTTCTGAATCTATTTCAACCACATCTTGACTTGGATGAGTGAATGACACATCTCCAGCCAAATAATCTGGGAATGGAAGATCTGCAGCTGCAAATACTTCACTGCTGCGATGTACTTCTTCAAGCCCATCAGACATCAAGTCCACCATTGCTCGGATATTGTTTGCTTTCTCCCATGATTTTGAATATGCAGCCAGGACCTCCGGAGAGACATAAACATGCTCAGTTCCATCTGCTGTCCGGTTCCATTCCCAAGCAAATGCTTCATAATCAACTCTGCCTTTGCCATCAGCACTTGCATTCACAGAGAAAATGCGTATCTGAGCAAAGAAGTAGCAGCAAGCTTCTTGAATGGTTGGAGGAAGAACAGGCAGAGCTAAGCCCTGTCGCTGTCGCAGCCAGTTGTTACTCACGTTGAGTTTATATGCCTTGGCAGACCTTGTGCGAGTCGTCAATAGCCAGCTGGTCTGGTTCAAGTAAAGATGTATGCTGGTTGGTATCAGCTTCATCCCGTTCAATGGCTTTACTTAGCATGGCAGTAAGATAGCGTTCACCAGGAATGAAGCCACCATAGCCATCTACATCACTGAAATTTCTGATCAAAGGGACTTTCATAGAGGCGTCAAAGTAATTGCGCAAATCAGCATTGGCTGATTCTCGAGTCTGAAGCTGCTTGAAGATTGACTCTAAATACTGGAGCTGTATTACATTGAATCGACAGGTGTGCATTTCGAACAGTAGTGAGTGAACACTGGATGGTCTCATCTTATGCTGATTGCCAACATGGAGAGTACTGACAATGTTGGATGACAGGCCTATTTTGTGGGAGAGCACAGCAGGAAAAGCCATATGCACATACGGGGGTAATGAGTTTAGAAGATGCTGGCTCCACCCGTGGAAATGTGAGTGGCAGTCCTGCTGGCAATAATATGCCCATGTACATGTGATGATGTAGAATGAATCTTCGAGGTCTATGACATGACGAGGTGGCAGCACGCCATTCTTTTCAAGTGGTTTTCCGCATTGGGGACAAGATAATACATTGACAAAGAAATGTACAAGCCAAAGCAAGACACGTAGGCGGAAGAGAAGGGTGGGCTCAAACCGATGCACAGAGAGAGACATGACAGATTCCGGAGAACGGATCCAGAGCATTGGCAGGGCATAAGGTTTAGACTCTGTGAATGTTGGCGGTGCAAGCAGGATCTTGCCGCCATTTTTATTGTGGATAAGCGGGTGTATAACTGTAGCAAAGTACCGGTACAGCCAGTCTTGCATATATTTTGGCTTATCGAACCATGCTAGTGAAAAATGTCTCAATGTTTTTTACAAGGAAACTTCGAAGGTGTGACATACCTCCAGGTTTGTCATTTGCATTATGTCTTTGTGCCGCTGGCTCATCCCCGGTATTGCGACTGATGCGTGGTGTCTCAGCTTTGTTTTGGGAGTCCAAGTGCTCATCCTTGTCACTCGCCGCATCAGAGAGGGGTCCTGCAAGTGGATTAAAGAATGGTTCTATAGGAAAATATGAGTATCTCATGTTGCAATGAAAAAGAATGGTTCGTACAGCTAAGCGGATGATTCGCAGCCTCCTGCAGGTCTACAAGACATTTCTTGCAGGTGTCTGCTTCTGCTTTCAATTGCTTGAGCTCTGCATTAAGAGGCAGCCAGAAAATCAGGAAAAACTCCGAAATTGAAAGGAGAATCAACTTACTGGCTATGACATTGCTTTCAGCCTTATCTAGCCTCCTCAAAAACTCCTCCGAGTACTCCTCATCATTAAATTCGTATTTGTCGTTGGCATCTGAGTCTACAGATGTTGCATACAGTGAGTAGAATATCTGAACTCTAGAATGAGACATACTGACCATTTTCCTCCTGGGATAGAATATCTCATGGCTTTGGTGGCCATCCTCTCCTTGGAGCATTGTCTGGTCTTGGTCCATCCTTCACACCGCTTGGACATGCCATGCTGCAGGAGACAGAGCTTGAAAAATGAAAAATGCGAGCTATTTATGAAAAGAAGTTCTTTCAGCATGTATACCCACATTATATCACAAAAAGAACATACCAGACTGACACAAACACATCACTATGATAGTAGCAACTAAGCAACGTGACTAGGGACAGAATACGTGACAGGAGTAGAGAAAGAACAGTCACACAGGTGAAACTCGGGATGATGGCAGATAACTATAGGGGCTGATGGCAGATAACTTTGGCAGGGAATTGCGTCTTGAGTGAATAGCGTTATCCTCATCGCGTTTTGAGCCACAAATTTTTACTGCATGGTTTATATGAATATATTCAATTTATATATACAAGACTTATGAGGGTCAATGAAGAAATGACCTCAAAATAAATTGTTGAATGCGTGGGGCCCACCTGCCCAGTATGGGCATGGCAGATAACTGGCAGGTAACATGGCATGGGAACCCAGTGAAACCGGCGGTAAACCAAACTTGGCTACTACCTACTGGAACCATCCTATTTATACTACAAGGAAATTAGAATTACAAACGTCATGCAGTACCCAGACTCCTACATGTGTAGCACATCACCACTGCTGCCTTACTGAGCATCTGACTCAGACTTCCCAGTTTTAGTCTCATTTCTATAGTGAGCTCCCTAAATGCATGCCAAGAGGTGCTCTTCCTGACACCTGTAGGCTTGTTCTCTAATGACCAACAGGTCTAGGTGCACAGAACTATCAGTTCTGGCATATGTCTTTTAAGACTTCTCTCTTGGATTCACAGAGGCTTCTTGTAGACACAGCAACAAGTGAGTCTTCGAACAATGGGATTCAGGACAATGGAACATGGGCTGACAGACTTCAGCCAAACCCCATTGCCCTAGCTTGTGCCAGTGATATCTGTCATCTTGCTTAAGGATTTCTCCAGATTTTCAGGTACGGCACATCATAGTTAGCAAGCATGCTAAATATTCTCAGTGCCAATGCAATCTTCAAAGTTTCATTTGGCTCCCATGAGTGTGCTTGTAAGTTAGAGCATAGTGCATTGGGTATAGGGTTTGGCCTTCTCATCATGCATGCCCATTAGGTACAGTGCTGTGACTAAGGCCTGTTTGGAATCCCATTGCTTCCTATGCCATAAGTTATATTCCATATCATTGCACTGTGTAGCATTAGTGTTGATGTGTAGTTTTAGTCTACTTGATCACTATATCTCAGGATGCATATAAAATGCATTGACACATGTAATTTTGCGAATTCTATGAATGCAAATGTGTGTATACCCTGTGCATAATATTAGGATGCATGTAAGGCATAGAGCACTACACACTGAGGCAGAAGCACTATAATAAAAATAATATGAGTAGAGCGCATGGCTTAGACTTAGAGTGGCACACTTGTGTCATTTAAGTGTGAAGCCTCAGTGCTTATACACACACACTGTGCACTCCTCAGCAGTGTATCACTCAATTAAATTCATTGAAGATATAATATATGAAGGGTGCTTCATGCTACATTGATCTATGATGCATGAACCAAAGAGAAGTAAAACCCTTTACCCTGCTGAAATATTGGAATTAGAAATGGTTGTGCAGCAGCCAATAAAATAAAACTTGTTCATGAGATAAGTTGCGCAACACTGGAATTAAATCTATGGAGCCAATAAGAAGATACATGCCACATGGCATGACAAGACTAGACCTTGTCAAGTGGATAAAACAGCAGTAGCATGTGTACTGACATGGAGTGTTGAATAAAATAATGATCACTATCACCACAGCTAGCATGGCACACAAGGGAAGGAAGTCTGAGGTGGAGCAGTTTCTATTTTCAGTATTTATATTTCACATAGTTAACAGTAAATATAAGAGCAGTAGTTACAGGTAGTTAACAAGCTTTCAGACCCCTGCAGTTGTACTACGAAGCAGTGCACTTAGTGTATAATGAAAGGATTTTATTTGAAGCTTTAAGTGAGAGAATATTATTGAACTTAGAATTATTTTGAACACCTTGAGAGCTTGCAAGGCATGCCTTGCTTGAGCACACTTGAGTTGTTTAAGTTAAAGTACAGTAATTGATTGCACTCTACTTAGAGAATATTGTATTGTGATAACTTGAATGTGCATTTGTGTTTTTGGAACTTGTTTGTGAATTCCAAGTTATTGCAAGTGGCAGAGGTTCAAACCCTTTGGCTTGTCAGTACTCTCTGAGGTTTCTGGTTTATTCCCAAGTGGCATAGGTTCAAACCCTGTGGCTTGTGGATGTGTTTTCTATGTTTGTGTATCTCTGGATCACATAGGTTAGAACTCTGTGGATCTATGAACAGGTTTTGAAGTGTTTTCTGCTTGGAGTGCAAGGCTTTAAGTCATGTTAAGTGTATTGTGAATGTTGTGGACACTTGTGTGTTGCGCATGATGTCTTTTGAGGGTTATACATTCTTGTGGAACATTTGTGGGCTTGCTAAATAATACTTTTGCCTTGAGGCCAAGCAATTCTGTCACTCACCTCCTGTTCCAAAAGCATTTGGACTTAGAGAATTATTATATTGCTAGTGTGCTATTATATATTGTCATGCACAAGGCTTCTTTCAATATTACTGTTATTGTGTACTTGTATTGCACATCTCCCCCAAACTACTGAGGGTTTGTGTGTGTGTGAGTGTGAGTGTGGGTGTGTTAGTGTTTTATATGCTGGTGCATTTCTAGCTTGGTGTGCACAGAGCCTCTTCAGCATTAGATTGCAAAATTGCATGTGTAAATAGACTGCAGTCACAACAGCATGGATGATGAGTAATGGATATTATGAAGAGTCCTGGGATTAAGATAAGGTGAAGATAAGAGATAAACACTGAGGAAAAGATAAGATAAAGGAAAAATTGTAACACATCTTTTGCAGTTAATACAAATAAACTACTACAGTTAATCATCCAAACAGTGGACCACATTTTGTGAAGTGGGTAGAGCTAGTCTTACTTAGATCTGCTTGAGCTTCAAGTTCTGAGATATCATGTAATACACTAACTTGGACTGAACAACTTACGTCTCTAAACTGTCCACTCGCACTTTGGTGGATCAGTGTGATAGAGACTTGTCATGGTCACTGAGTCAGGAACAATAGTCCTTAGGCATGAAACAGGGAGTTTCTGCATGAAAGGTTAGAAGTGTATAACTTTAGCCAAAGCTGGGGTGTAAGACCGCAGTGAGGCTTGTTAAATACATTATGGTATTTACTTGTATGTACTTGTCCTAATATAGTGCTGTCTTCTAGGCTGGCAACCTTGGTATAGGAGAAGACTGTCTGTGAGTAAGTAGTCCAGCAGTTGTATGGTGTTTGATATACTAGAAGAGCACCTGCGGATAAGAAGACTGGCACCCATGTGGTGCAGTCTTCGTTAAAGCATATGTGGCACTATATCTCTCCTGGATTGTGACCTGAGTCAACCTAAAGAAGTGTGATGTGATAAAGAGGGTAGGGCCCATAAAAGTATGATTGGATCTATTGGGCCATCAGATGGATCATCAGGTGTGTCTGATGATAGTGCATGTGAGCAGTGTGACTAAGCAGGTCATGAATGATGTGGATCAGGTATGAGGAATGATGATGAGAGTTGAATGATGAGTTGCCAAGATAAGATAAGATAAGATAAGGCAAAAAATAAAGGTGAATTTGTGACATACCACAGAGAGACTAGACTGATAAATCTACATGTCTGAATGTAGTTAATGGTGTGTAAAGTTTATTAGCTTATCAAGGGGGTACCGGAATTCCAGTCTAGCACACCAGTGATGTGCTCAGTAATGGGCAGCATGCAAATGAGACAAGTGTCTAGATCATCAATTTAGATACTAAATCACATACACACACACACTATCACCAATGTATATAAGTTTGAGGGTGAGTACGATAGAAGCACTCACGAAGTATTTAGATTTAGATAATCAAGTGGGTTTTTGTTTGAAAGTGACTTCAATTCTTTTGTAGATGACTTCTACACAAAGCACACTAGTCCATGATAGCAGGTTTTATGAACATGTTTTTGTAAGGTATAGACAAGCAAGTTATACTTGTTTTAACATCATCTAGAAGAGCTTCTAGTGGACACTTTAAATAATCAAACAACTAAAGACCTAGAGGTCTACAAAGAGTGCAAAGTCACTCTACAAAGAATGCACAGGTTCTGACTTCAAGTACAAGACTTGCAAAGAGTACACAGACTCTAGAGTTCCTTGAACTTGACAATTGTTTGAACTTGAAGCATTCTAGGGCTTATTTCCCTTCAACTAGATGATGTCTTTTGACTTAGGGTTGACTCAGCATGTCTAGATCACTAATCTCAGAGAGGGAGCATGAGGCCTTTGTCTGCAGAGCAGTTTAAATTAACTAGCAAGGCGCAAACATGGGGATGACTCTTCTTCCTACTTAACTCTTCTAGATTACTGTAGCTCTCCTTATGGGTTGACTTTAGTAACTCAATTCACTTCAGTTGAGGATATGCAATAAAACTAGTGATTGATTAGGTAGCTATACAGGCTACTAGCACAAATGCAGGGGAATGCTTTCCTGCCATTATGCATCTAGTCGCTGCTAATTTATATGATTTGTGTTCTAGGTATAGAAGCCTGTATCTACAGTAATTATGGTATGAGCTTTGGGATTAATACAAATGGTGAGTCACTATTCTACAAGGATTATGCCATTCCATAGTTTCTATTCAGTTCGATGAGACTGTGCTGGGTTATTCTGTCACTGAGGCATGCCCTACTGGTCTGTGAGAGCTCCTTCTACTGTCTGCAAGGCTTGCCATGCACTGTATGTATTGAATACTGCAGTTTGTGCAGGATCTCGAGGATATAACCACTGATTGTGATCAAATGCAGGTCCAAGATTATATTCTGTTGATCACTGCATGATTGAGGTCAGTCATCTCTGTATCCAACACAGCTATTCATTCTTCCAAGGTTATTCTTTTCATAG